GAGAGCTGAGATAGAGACCACACGGCCTGCAAAGCCTAAATACTATCTGGACCCTTAGGAGTGTGCCGACTCACATGTTCAATATTCGTTTCCCAGCGCTGTTTTGTTCATAGTCCTGCTGTAAAACTCTGGGATGCTGACTAGATTTGGACTTCATGACCCACGATTTTTACCTTTGTATCTGTTTAGCCCTCAAGTTATGGATGAAATACTTCCAGTTCCTTCTTATCTATGCCATTGCTTTTTACTTGCATTATAATGTTTTTATAACACTCCCCATTCTTAAGCCAAAACAAGCTTTATTGTATATGAAAATAGATCACTTTAACCACATTTCATTTGGGGTATGTTAAGAACTCTTACTAAATCTTAGATAAATAAAACAATAAACCTATATTCATTCATTTCAACTATGTGGAAAATGTCACTAATGATTATTTTTGAGTAATAGTATTTTGGATATTTTATTTGTTATACTTTTCTCTATTTTCCAATGTCTCTACAATATGAAATTTTATGATCGATAGGGGAAACATTTTTTAAAAATAGGACTATATGGCAAGGCGTGGTGGCTCATGCCTGTAATCCCAGCACTTTGGGAGGCTGAATCAAGAGCATCGCTTGAGGCCAGGAGTTCAAGATCAGCCTGAGCAACACAGTGAGACCCTATCTCTATAAAAAAATAGAAAAATTAGTTAGGCATGGTGGTAGATGCCTGTAGTCCCAACTACTCGGGAGGCTGAGGCAGGAGGATTGCTTGAGCCCAGGAGCTTGAGGTTACAGTGAGTTATGGTGACACCACTGCACTCTAGCCTGAGTGACAGAGTGAGACCCAGTCTCTAAAAAAGAAGGGACTGTATGTTATTGAGATAATTGACTTAAGAGAAAAGATGGCTTAAATGATATTTTGGTGTTAAGGTATTTGTGTATAAACAGTAGCTATGCGTATTATTGAAGACACAATAAACCCAATCTTTTTGCTTAAGTGAATGATTCATAATTTAAGGAAATGGTTTTGGATCCCACCATTTACATGCTTTTATGGGTGAGTTTCACTAAGATGTAAAAAATGCTAGAACTGATTTTTCTTAAATTATTTGTTCTTTGCTCAGTAACAGTTTCTATCCTGTTTTTCTGTTTAAGGAGCATACGCTATGGCCTCTACCACTCACTCTTCGAGTGGTTCCATCCACTCTACCTACTTGATAAGAAAAATGGCTTCAAAACACAGTATTTTGTCAAAGCAAAAACATTGCCAGAGCTGTACGACCTTGTTATCAGGTAATAAGCAAATGTTTTTGGTTTTAGGACTTTTATCAATGAAGTCAGAGCTTCCTATAGGGTACTTGTAAAAGTTGGGGGTGTTGGGGGTGAGGGAGGTATGAAAAAAATCTAGAAGACATCAAAATAACAAAAGTGGCAGTTGCATTGTTTTTTTCCTCCTACTTTTCAAAACTTCTATAACATCATCATATTGCCTTTATAAATTGAAACAATCTTACAAAAACCCAGGATGGTAGAAAGTCAAAACTTCAGTTCCCTCCTTGCATGCCATTTTCCCTATGTCAGGACCCTGGGGAGGGGGCAGTATGGTCTAACTGTGGCCAGACCCCGTGTAGGATTTGGCATCAGACAGATTTGTGTTTTGAGTTCTGGCTTGTATTACTTACAGACCTTAAACAGAACACCCTTCTGAGCCTCAGATTCTCACTCTGTAAAGCGGGCATAATAATGCCTTCCATGTTGAATAACATGTGAAGCATATCTGTCAAAGTGCCAGGTATAGAGTAAGGGTGGCGTTATTATTATCATTGTTCTTTTTTTTTGAGACAGAGTCTCATTCGGTGGCATCATCATAGCTCACGGCAACCTTAAACTCCTTGGCTCAAGTGATCTTCCGTCAGCCTCCTGAGTAGCTGGGACTACAGGGACACTCTACCACACCCAGCTAATTTTTTCTATTTTTTGTGAAGATAGCGTCTCACTGTGTTCCCCAGGCTGGTCTCAACTCCTGGCATCAAGCAATCCTCCC